ATTTTAGGTCGCAATGCTTATTATTTTTGTACCACCTGGCAAAAAAAAAAGAAATATATAAATTTGTTTTTCCCCCCAAAATATATATATATCTCTTTTTAATGAATCTTCAATAAACTCACACCTTTCTTCATTATCTATTTATCTATCTATCTATCTATCTATCCATAGTGAATAGAGACATGGATCTAAGTCTAAATAACCCTACCTCAAGATTTTTTTTTAGTCCTTTTCTGAGGCTAATTTGTTACTTGACAATATTAATAAATCATAGTTTAGCCTTTGTTCCTTGGGTTTTGTTAAGTTAGCAAGTTACAATGCAACCTTCTTAATCAGACCGTGCTGATTAACAATTTATGGTACAGGTTGTGCTTAGTGATCCTGAGCGAGAGCAGATGAAGGTAATTTGATATTGGCAATTTTTACAGCAGTTGGCCCTGTGGATATGTGTGAATTACTGCCAGATAGGTGACAGGGGTTATATTCATTATTACAGATCTAATAATGAAGGCCTCGATTTAATATTGTTGGTAAGTTTTCCAAATTATTTAATATATATTTGGATAAACATTTTTGGAAATTATTTATTATTCACAAAATATTTCAATTTTGTGATATTTTAATATTTATTGATATACACACCCTATTCCAAATTATTATGCAAATGATATTTTTCTCATTTACCTAAATAATTGATATAAATAACAGTCAGCATAATTCTCATGTTATCAACTATTAAGAGTACAATTCAAATTTAATTGAACAAACCTCCTAATGATAACAGTATTTTTTTTAAACATAAAAAACTTACAATGCACTGTTCCAAATTATTACGCACAGTAAGTTTCAAAACACTTTATAGGTTGTAAAGAACTGAAAATTGTCATTTGTTGTGTTTGCAGCATATTTACTGAAATCAAAAGCTATTTCAATCAAACTTATAACAACATTTTAACTTTTTAAACATTTTAACAGGTCACGTTACATTTTAACATAGGACCCCTTATTTGATAGCAGCTTCACAAGTCTTGCATCCATTGAACTTGTGAGTTTTTGGACAGTTTCTGCTTGAATTTGTTTGCAAGATGTCAGAATAGCCTCCCAGAGCTGTTGTTTGGATGTAAACTGCCTCCCACCCTCATAGATCTTTTGCTTGAGGATGCTCCAAAGGTTATCAATAGGATTAAGGTCAGGGGAGGATGGAGGCCACACCATGACTTTCTCTCCTTTTATCACCATAGCAGCCATTGATGCAGAGGTATTCTTTGCAGCATGAAATGGTGCATTGTCATGCATGAAGATGATTTTATTACGGAAAGCATAGTTCTTTCTTCTGTACCAGGGAAGAAAATGGTCAGTCAGAAACTCCACATACTTTGCAGAAGTCATCTTTACACCTTTGGGGACCCTAAAGGGCCCAAAACATGACTCCACCACCGCCTTGCTGACGTTGCAGCCTTGTTGGAACAGGGTGGCTGTCCACCAACCATCCACTACTCCATCCATCTGGACCATCCAGGGTTGCACGGCACTCATCAGTGAACAGGACTGTTTGAAAATTAGTCTTCATGTATTTTTCTGCCCAATGCAGCAGTTTCTGCTTGTGAGCAATGGTTAGTGGTGGCCGAATAAAAGGTTTATGCAAAGTTGCATAAAGACTCTGGAGGACTCTACACCTTGATGTCCGTGGGACTCCAGAGGCACCAGCAGCTTCAACTATCTGTTTGCTGCTATGTAATGGTATTTTAGCAGCTGCTCTCTTGATCCGATGCATGGATCTGGACGAAATCTTCCTCAATGTGCCTTTATCTGCACGAACCCATCTGTGCTCTAAATCAGCCACAAATCTCTTAATAGTGCGATGATCACGCTTACGTTTTCATGAAATATCTAATGTTTTCATACCTCGTCCAAGGCATTGAACTATTTCACTCTTTTCGACAGCAGAGAGATCCTTTTTCTCACATACAATCACACACACACAGGCAAAGGCATACAGTAGGAGGCCCAGAGTCAGACATATACAGTCACACGCAAGCAGTCAGACACAGGCCTGAGTCAGACAGGCTGACACCAGAGATCAATGCTTGTGTGAATGTGTAGATATATATGTACATATGCACTTGAATTGGGTGCTGCTGGGTATAAATAGATATACCCCAGCAGCACCCTTATAATGTATGCATGTTCAGGTGAGTACAACCCTCTTGGTTTGATATATATATATATATATATATAAAATATATATGTGTATATATATATATATATATATATATAAAGTCTTGCACTCTGCCCAAATGTAGAAAAATAATAAACAATGACCACGGTGCTGCTCAGCGGAAGGATAAATAGTAGATGGAAGAACGAGAGCACTCGCTTGATTTTTCAAACAGTGTATTGACCAAAACAAAGGATCAATGTTTCGACCAACTGGTCTTTATCAAGGTTGGTCGAAACGTTGATCCTTTGTTTTGGTCAATACACTGTTTGAAAAATCCAGCGAGTGCTCTCATTCTATCATCTACTATATATACATATATATACACACACACTGAACAGCCACTGACAGGTGAGATGAAGAACATTGATTATTTGTTATAATAGCATCGGTCAATGGGTGGGACACATTAGGCAGCAAGTGACAGTCAGTTTTTTTCAATTTCATGTTGGAAGAAAGATCTGAGCAACTTTGACAAGGGCTAAATAGTGATGGCTAGACAACTGGGACAGAGCATCTCCAAAACAACAAGTCTTGTGGGATGTTCCCGATATGCAGTGGTTAGTGTCTACCACAAGTGGTGCAAGAAAGGACAACTGGTAAACAGGTGCCAGAGTCATGGGTACTCAAGGTTCATTGATGTACATGGGGAGCAAAGGCTAGCCTGTCTGGTCCAATCACCCAGAAAAGCTACTCTATCTCAAATTGCTGAAACTCTTAATGCTGGCTATGATAGAAAATTGTTAGAACACACACTGCATCAATGTTGGCTGCATATAGGGTTACGTAGCCACAGACCGGTCAGAGTACCCATGATGACCCCTGTTCACCACCGAAAGCATCTTCAATGGCTATGTGAGCATCAGAACTGGACCATGGAGCAATGGAAGAATGTTGTCTGTTCTGATGAATCACATTTTCTTTTAGATCAGGTGGATGGCAGTGGTGCATGTGCATTGTTTACCTGGGGAAGAGATGATGACAGCCACATGCACTATAGGAAGAAGGCAGATTGGTGGAGGCAGTGTTTTGCTCTGGGCAATGCTATGTTCGGAATCCTTGGATCCCAGCATTCATGTGGATGTTACTTTGACATGTACCGATAGATTTTGCAGAACATGTACCCTTTCATGACAATGGTGTTCCCTGATGGCAATGTCCTCTTTCATCTGGATAATGCACCATGCCACACCTCAACAATTGTTCAGTAATGGTTTGGGGAACATAACAAAGAGTTCAAGGTGTTGTCTTAGCCTCTAAATTCTACAGACCTCAATCCAATTGAGCTTCTGTAGAATGTGCTGGAGCAACAAATCCGGTCCATGGAGGCCCCACCTCACAGATTGCAGAACTTAAAAGATCTGCCGCTAATATATTGGTGCCAGATACCACAGGATGTGTTGAGAGGTCTTGTGGAATCCATGCCTCGATGCATTAGAGCTGTTTTGGCAGCATGAGGGGACCTACACTATATTAGGCAAGTCGGCTGATCAGTATATACATATATATATATATACACATGATCCCCTTAAAAGGGACACTATAGTCAATAGAACCACTACAGCTTAATGGCCACTAGAGGTGCTTCCTAGTTCAATGCTGCATGAAGATGTTGAATGTTCCCCATGGAGATGCATTGATTCAATGCATCTCTATGAGGAGATGCTGATTGGCACAGAAAGGTGTTTTACCACACATGCTCATTAGCCTCCCAATGAGTTCCTATTTGAAAGCATTGGATTGGCTAAATCATCAAAGGCAGGACCAGCCGAGGTGAAAAAAGCTAGGTTAAAATTTTTTTCAAAGTGATCTAAGGGGAGCCAGGGAACTAAATAGGTAGTTTAACATTAAAGTGTTAGGAAGGCATGTTTCTTAGTGTTCCTTTAACTCCTACAGTACTCTAAAACACTACACTACATTATCATAACACTATACTACTACTCATTAATTATTTCACCTTACATTAACACACTATGTCACGCCAAGGGTGCATAATTCATTGTTGCACAATAGAATATTGCCATTTAATGTAATTTGTGTAGTGCATATATGAATTGGCCACTTGGTTGCAAGGTCAGATGACAGAAGGGGTAATGTAAATTGCATAGGAATGTGAAAGGGGGCAAATGGTTTACCATATGAATTGTTCATTTGATTAATCAAAGGCTCTGCAAGGTGTGAGAAGTCACACATAAGTGACCTGGAAGTCTGGTTTAAATATAAACTACCTCTCTAAATTGCCATATGTCTAGATTCCATTAGATAGAGGGTCCTTTCATTTGTTAATGACCATTAGCCTTGTGTTCCAGGATCATATCCAAAAGAAACATTAATATTTACCCACAGATTAATAATTAAGCCTCATATTTATTATAGTTAGAATGGGAAAAGCACAATCTTCTAATCAAGCCCAAACATGATTAGCGTAACTTAACCATAGGGGAAGGGATTGTGATGTACGTTATATTGGGTCACAAGTAAGGAGTGTGACATATCTATGGAATGGAAAAATGGTAAGAAATTCATAGATGCAAAAATTATTTCCATTTGGATTGATGTTGGTCTGGAACATAAGGGGCTGATCACTTATAGTTACTATATGGATGCCTTATCTCCACCTCTGGGTGAGGCTTGGTAATACACAGGGTATATATATAATGATACTGAAGTGTGGATGTACTTGCTTGGGGGTCAGAATCTAATTCTGAGTGAGTCACCATTTTCCTTACCAGAGATCCCCTGGTGGTATTATTTACATTTCATTCTCTCACTGGTTTTTGTGTGCACACTGATATATTTTGTTTTGTGGTATTCAATGTTTAAGTGTTTTGGGAAGCACTGCTATATCAGGCACACTGCCTGTTGAATCATTCAGCTACGTATTTTTTGTTATCCAATAGTGAAGCGCCTACACACTATTTTTGGATATTCTAAAAACACAACTAAAGAATGTGTTCATCCACTCATTATTTCCAGACTTGACTATTGCAACTCACTACCGAGCCTTCAAATAACCACATTCCCCCTCCTCAGTTTGTAATCAATACAGCCGCCAGGATCAGCTTCCTGACTGCTAATCGCACAATACCACTTTGCCAATCATTAAATTGGCACCCTGTAACCCTCAGGATCCAATTCAAACTGCTAACACTAACCTACAAAGCCCTCACTAACTCCACTCCTCACTACATTTTTTTCTTTATGCAACAAATACACCCATACACATTCCCTTCGCTATGCAAAGGATCTTCTACTTTCATCTGCTCATTCCTGCAGGATTTTTCAAGGGCTGTCCTGTTCCTATGGAACTGCCTACTCCATGCCATTAGGCTTTCCCGTAGCCACCAGTCCTTTAAGAAGTCACAGAAAGTACAGCTCCTTAAAGGGATGCTATATGCACCCAGACCACTTAGGCTCATTGAAGTGGTCTGGGTGCACTGTCCCTGTCAGTTTAACCCTGCAATTGTAATTATTGCAGTTATTGATAACCAAGAGGCACTGCCAGGTGGTTAGGTGACCTTTGGTAAACTATTTATCTACTGTAATACTTACATTGCAGGTTAATTTCACCTCTAGTGGCAGTCTACCAGACAGTCACTAGAGGCACTTTTTTAGGTGGCTTTTTGTCATCTAACACCCCACTGGAAAGCATTGATACAATGCTTTCCTATGGGGCAGTCCTAATGCGAGCATGGCGCATGCACATTAGGTTGCCTCTGCCTGCTAAGGGACTTTGGCGCTGGTTTCAGGTAAGTTACAAAAGGAGCTTTAACCCCTCTATCACTGCGTGGTAGAGGGGGAGTTTGATAGGTGGGCACCATTGGGTACTATAGAGAATATTCCTTGCACTATAATTCCTTATATTCCAGGCCCAATAATTTCCCTCTCCATTACAATTACAACTCATTCTTAGCTTTTTAACACAGGTATCGTACCCATCAGTCCCTCATCCCCTATGGAATGTTGTTTTTCATCTTCTGTTTCTTTACTCATTTCTTATAGATGGTACGTTCGTTTGTTCAGGATCTATCTCAACTACTGTCTCTGTTAATGTTTTTACATAGTTACATAACTGAAAAGAGACATGCATCCATCCATCAAGTTCCACCTTTTTATTTGCATTTGCGTTTTTGCTGTTGATCAAAAAGAAGGGGAAAAAAATGTCTGAAGAGCGTCTTTTTTTTGCTTCTCCTGTCAATTACTTCTCAAATTTCCCCATTCTATATTAATAGAGCACTGCTGAATATGTTGGCGCTATATAAATGCGAATAATAATATAAATAATAATAATGCTGCGGTTTAATGCAGGAATTAGAGCAAAATGTCACCTGTTTATGTCTTTCATCGGCAACTTCCCTCTGGCACTTAAAGGATTAAGCCAAAACTGCACGGTTCACTGATAAATGTATTTGCCTGTTAAATTAAAGAAACCTGGATGGTGAAACGTTTTGGCCAACTGATAAACTCACACTTATTGCTTGTTTGCACATTTGTTATCACTTCACCTTTTGATGGGGAGTTGCTTTTATTCAGTGTGATTATATTTGTCTCACGCATAGACTGTAAAATATTCCTTGGCACACGACTTTATTGAAAAAATCTGAGCTTGCAATTTATCTCACCTAACAAATAAAAAGTATTCACACCGCTTACATTTTTTCACATTGTTTTATTGTTCAAAAAAAGCTGCAAGGCAGCAAAATACAGAGATATGTGCACTGAAATCTAGCCCATAGGGCTCAGTACCTCAGACTGGACAGAAGGTTCACAATTCAAGAGGAAAATTACACTAATCACACAGTCAAGATAATGCAAAAGTGGTATAGGGACAACTCTATCAATGTCCCTGAGAGTCTCAACCAGAGCCTGAACTTAGAAACATAGAAACATAGAATGTGACGGCAGATAAGAACCATTCGACCCATCTAGTCTGCCCAATTTTCTAAATACTTTCATTACTCCCTAGTCTTATCTTATAGTTAGGATAGCCTTATGCCTATCCCACGCATGCTTAAACTCCTTTACTGTGTTAACCTCTACCACTTCAGCTGGAAGGCTATTCCATGCATCCACTACCCTCTCAGTAAAGTAATACTTCCAGATATTATTTTTAAACCTTTGTCCCTCTAATTTAAGACTATGTCCTCTTGTTGTGGTAGTTTTTCTTCTTTTAAATACGGTCTCCTCCTTTACTGAGAACATCCAGTATCTTCAAATCTTCCAGAAGAAAGCACGGATTCAATGCGTTCCTATGGGGAAGGCCTAATGCAGCCAAGGTGCTCACTGCACAGTTTTGTATTCCTAACACTATACCAGGGATATGCAATAATAAAAAAGATTATACCCTAAACCTCTAGCTGTAGTCTCTGTTACTGCAGTGATGTAAGTGAGACTACCACTCCAGGATAGTCAAACAGTAATATGCCATAAATAACAGTAACTGTTATTTATTTAAGGTGTAGTCCAAAACATCTGGAGTGCCGAAGGTTGCCTATGCCTGCACTATACTGTTCCTTTAAATTTCAAATTCACTTTGACTTTAACTTGGAATGCATTCTCTTTTTAGTGAATATACTGTTTAACTCCACCAAAATCTCTATGGGGAGCTTTTGGCATCTTCATGACTCTGAATGTGCAGCACTGAACAAGGAAGCACTTCTAGTGGCCGTCTGAGTGACTGCCACTGGAGGTGTTCCTAGGCAGCAATGTAAACACTGCCTTTTCTCTGAGCTGTAGTTGTTCTGGTGAATGTAGTGTCCCTTTAAGAGGTCATGCATTCCCTTACAAGTCACAAACATAATTTGTAGATTAAAGGACTTTTAGAATAGCATAGATTTTTTCTCCCTCAAGCTATATCCACGTTTCCCTTTGTCTTCCAAAACAAGCCAGGAATTGTTAAGTTGTTCAGGACACAGTTTTGGCAACTGTAAGCAAATATCAAACATGGGCAAAGGTTGGCACCACACCCTTGCCGTACAATTGTCTGGAGCAATTTGCTCAGCCTGTTCTACTAGATATTATCAGAACGTAATTCATCCTTAGACTATTTCCCAGGTGCAGCCAAGATCTCAGTGATATGGATATGAGATTCAAAGTAGTTTCATATAAATCTATGCTGAATCAGTGCGATTAGGAGTATATAACCACTTAAAGGGACATTCTAGACACCAACACAACTGAAGTGAATTAAATTTTTGTTTTTGTTCTTCTGTTGCATTTATTTTGCTATAAAAAAAAAGAAGTTTTACAACACTTTTCACAAGATATCTTCCTGAAGTACTTATGGTATATGCTCAGCAGCACAGCTCACACTGATTGCTCATTGGCTGAGCTATACTAAGTACCTTCCAATCATGAAGGTGTTTTGTGAAAGGAGAGGATTGGCAAAGGGGACAGTGTCTGCCTCCAAGTCCGCAGTGTGTGTGTTGTGGATGCAGTGTGTGTGTGTATTTTGTGGACGGGTGATGACTAGTGATGTCCCGAACGGTTCGCCGAAAAAAATTAAATGACCCCTGTTCAAAAGTCTGCATACCTAATTTCAATTTAAAAAGTCACAGGTGTGGAAAATTAACCTTTAATTGTCATTTTAACCTGTGTGTGTCACCTTGTGTGTCTGCAACAAGGCCAAACATTCAAGAGTATGTAAACTTTTGATCAGGGCCATTTGGCTGATTTCTGTTACCATTATTATTTTTTAAAAAGGCAAGCACCTATGTGATAATAAATGGCTCCATATGATCATTAGCCTTCAATAAAATATATATATTTTTTGCATGATCAGTCATATTTTTAAAATCAATGACAAAATTTCACAATTTCTGCCAGGGTATGCAAACTTTTGAGCACAACTGTACAATGAATGCTTAACGCATGGATATTTGTTTGACTATGTACAAAAGATGAAATCTTTTAAATAAGCTCCATTTGCCACCTCGCAAAGTCAGACTCTTTTGATTGCATAGTTCATAACATTAGGTAATGTTTGAGGCTTAAGTGCTTGAATATCTGCATGGATATTTTCCTTAAGTTGTTTGGATGTACGCGGTTTCTTCACGTACACCCCGCTCCTCCAGATATCCCCAGAGGAAGTAATAGGGAGAAACAAAAACATAAAATTAGTTATTTACTTGTCAAATCCTATTCTGCATTTTGGCCCACCCTGTATGTGTTATATCTGTGCCATTCTGAATCAGGGTGAGTTTTAGAATTATTTACCATGCTATCCACCTCTTGTATGCCTCTATGTAGAAGGGACAGTCCATATTTAGAGTTCTAATCCCTTTGCCCCAACATAAGCCAGGACTTAAAAGTTACTCGCCACTCGCCACTGCAAGTCTAGACGCACTTACCAAGGCAGAATTGCAACTTACCAGGGCAGAAAACGCATATTGTTACTGTGCTGTTGCGGCCTGTTATGCCGAGCTTTTCAATGTTCACCTATTTTATTTTAAATCGATTACGGAATGCTAATACATACGCGGATCTCATGCACTTTGGGCAAGGTGGAGACTGGACACAACCCACATAGAGACCTAGACGACACACCCTTGATAGGTGCCTAGGCTACGGACCTCATCCCATACCCGCGCACTGTATAGGACGGTGGAACTCACGAGGAGATTGCCTCTCAGCCTGGATACTGGGACGGACCTCCTGAGTACCCCACCGTTGCACGGGTCCCCTCTACCAGAGGACGAAACACGACTAGGCACTAACCCTGACCTACCTCTTCTAAACCACCTGTCATCCCTACCTTAACCCTCTTTCCTGCTAAACCTGCGCCCGTCCCGAGTTTCTCACGTACATATCCACTCCCCGATATTCCCGGAGCCGGCCCGCCTTGGGTCCCCGCTGCAGCATATCGGACCTGGACGGGGGGGCCGAGGCCGTTGCGGAACCCTACTAAGGGGCGGGGGAAGGGAGCTCTGACGAGTCAGCCGCGGGGGGGCCCTGGGGCTGAGGTGACCATGACCTACCAGCCAGAACCCATTACTATCCT